ATCTATCTATCTATCTATCTATCTATCTATCTATCTATCTATCTATCCATCCATCCATCCATCCATCTATCTATCTATCTATCTATCTATCATCTTTATCTATCTACCTACCTACCTACCTACCTACCTACCTATCACATGTATATAGCTGCCCATCTATCAGCCAATCCTGGGTGCCTCCTAATCACTTAAACGCGATGGCCAATATAAATCAGGGGTCCCCAGCCTGAGTCCGTGGCAGGTCAGATACTGGGTCATGCAAACAAATGAAGCCGCCCCCCATGGGATGCAGGCCGCCTGGGAAACGTCGCCCCCTCTGGTCCGCGAAAAAACCCTCTCTCCAGGGAACCGGTCCCTGGGGTCCAAAAGATCCAGGGCAGCTGGGGGCACACTGCTGTAAACAATAAAATTAAAAGGACACCCAGGGCAACCTTTGTGTGTGTATGCACACGCGCTCACTCTGCTTCAGAATCCAGCGGCTGCGTCTCCAGGACCAGCCTGCCCCGGTCCCGAGGAGAAGCCAGCCAGGTCCCCTGGGTGTAGGATCCCCCCCCAACCCCCAACGGGCCCGCTCCGCTCCTGCTGACCTTCTCGCTCAGGGCCCTGTGGAGATCCGCTTCCAGGCGGCTCCTCCGCTCCTCCCATTCCTTCAGGGACTTGTCCTGCCCTTCACACATTTCGTTCATGGCTTCCTGAATCTCCGTCAGGGTGCGGGCGAACTCTCGGAGCTGAGAGAGGAGATGTCGACTCATAAAAACATTCCTACGCCTGTTTTAGTGGTTGCCATTAAAAAGGGGAGGGGCGGGGGGAGGAAGGAAATCTGGAAGAGCAGTTGAAAGCAAAAGTACATTCCAACTCTTTATCTTTAAAAGATCGTTAACTCAACTGCCAGAGCTTTTGCCCCCAGATATATCCAATTGGAGAACGTGATTGAGGACGCCTAGTCCGTGAACGGACTCAGTTGGAGGATCTGATTTATGACACACCCATTGGGGAGGGGGGCAAACAGGGTCTCAGGGGACTGTGAATGACATATCCCAGAGTGGGCTCCATACAGGGCAGGGCCAGCATGACCCCTCTCGTGAATCCTTGGAAGTTTTTTGAAGTTTGGCTCGAGAATCCTGATTTGATTAGGGCGATTGCTGGAATCCTGACAGAAGGCAGGTGAAGCTTGGACTCTTTGGCCAAAGGGTCTTCGGCCGCCGGGAGGATACGGAATGCTAAGCGTCTCCCCACCCCCAACGGGGAGCCCCACGGCTCTTAGGCCAGGTCTCCAACCTTGGCCACTTTAAGACTTGTGGACTTCAATCCCCAGAATTCCTCAGCCAGCCAGGAATGATAGAGTTGGAAGAGACCAGAAGGGTCATCTAAGTCAGAGGTCTCCAACCTTGGCCACTTTAAGACTTGTGAACTTCAATCCCCAGAATTCCTCAGCCAGCCAGGAATGATAGAGTTGGAAGAGACCAGAAGGGTCATCTAAGTCAGAGGTCTCCAAACTTGGCCACTTTAAGACTTGTGGACTTCAACTCCCAGAATTCTCCAGCGAGCTGGCTGGAGAATTCTGGGAGTTGAAGTCCACCAGTGGCCAAGGTTGGAGACCCCTGCTCTAAGACCTCATCCTTTCTCTGCCTCCCCCCCCCAAATTCTAAAATCCAAAGCCTGCCCCCCGTCGTACCCGGAACGTGAGTTCCCCGTTCTCCTCGGAGAGCTGGCTGATCTTCCGGTCCATCTGCCCCTTCTCCGTCTTGAGATCCTGGCACTGCTTCAGCGTCTCATGCAGGCGGAGGAGGAGGCTGCCGGGGAAGAGGAGCAGAAGGAGCATCAGGAGGAAGGAGGCCGGCAGCAGGAGCACCGGGCTCTGGAGCATTCAGTGAGCCAACTGGCGGGCAGAGGAGGGGCCCCCTCCCCACGTGCATTCATTCATCGACTGGCTTATCCGTTTATTCACTTCTTTGTGCCTTTATTCATCCTCTCCCCAAATTTATTCACTTATTTCCTTGCTTATTCGCTTGCTCATCCATTCAATTCACTCTAAGAACCGGCCGCAGGGGCTCTCCCCAAGTTTCATTTATTCATTTAACTTTATTTATCCCGAGAGCTGGCTGCAAGGGCTCTCCTCAAATTTTTTCTTCTTTGCTTATTGGCTCATTGTTAGGAATAACATAGGTTACCTAACGTAGTTTGGGTAAAATAATATATATAAACTATGATTGTAAGTTTAAGTGTGCGTCACTTTAAAACTGCAAAGCATGTAATTTTGGGTGTGGTGTGAAACCACCATAAGAGGGAGAAAGAGAACCTTACAATTACTGGATTGCATGGAATGATGGTTTGTTAACTGCGTGTTTCCCTCTACTGCTGAGTTGCTGAAGGAAGAGAGGAGTTTTTGAGTTCTTCATATCTCTACTGCAAGGAGATATATTACTGGACTGATATTTGTAAGTTTACTGACCTCTTTTTCGACACTGGAATTTGCAACTGAATAATCCCTGGACGGACTGAATTAGTGAATGATATATGGACTGTTTGACTATGCTATAACTCTTCCTGGAATAAACTATTTAATTAGCACTGTGTATCTGTTTTACTGAGTGTAAGCTACAAAAACGTTTATCTCGCATATTTTGCCTGCCTGCCTGACTGCTGTGCATATCCTGCTAGGGTGTATCCCTAACACTCATTATGACTTGCTGCCCATCTCGCACCCAACAATTCTGGGCAAGCCATCATCAAAACAATAAAAAAAAACCATGAAAATCATTGATTATAAAATAACAGAACAGATCAAATCATGAACATGAGATGGAAAAGGAGGCAGACCCATGGCGGGGTGGGAGAGATGTGATTTGGTATTGGTAATTTGTCAACCAACGCACTTGGAATAACGCCTCTGGTTTTGGTCGCCACACTACAAAAAAGAGGCTGAGACTCTAGAAAAAGTGCAGAGGAAGAGCAATCAGGAGGATGAGGGGACCGGAGGCTCAAACATACGATGAACATCCATGATTTATTTAGTTTTTATATGTTTTAGTTTTTGTTTGGGAGATTAAAACCTATAATCCATAGTGGCAGGAACTGGGCATGGCTGGTCTAGCGAAAGGAAGGACTAGGGCAGTGATGGCTACACTTTTGGGCACCAAGAGCCCAAAGCATGCGCACATCCCCCAAATGCAGTCTGCGCACTTCCGCCGTACATGCATCCTGCACAGCAGAGACCCCAAGGCCCGCTGGCTGGCAGAAGGTGCGCGGGCACATGCGCGGAGGAGCTGAGCTGAGCGGTGCTTCGCAGGCCCATCGAGAGGGCTCCGTGGGCCCCCCGCGGCATGCATGCCATAGGCTCGCCATCACGGGACGAGGGGCAACGGGATAAACGTGTTCCAGGATCTGAGGGGCCGCCCCAAAGAAGAGGGGCTTAAGTCATTCTCCAGACCACCAGAAGAAGGCAGGACAAGCAGTAATGCGTGGAAAGTAATCAAGGAGAGAGTCAACCTGGAAACGAGGAGAAACGTCCTGACAGGGAGGACAATTATCCAGTGGAACAGAAGTTGCCCCGAGAGGTTTGGGGTGCTTCCTCACTGGAGGCTTTTTAACAAAAAAAAAACCGACCGGAGAGCCACTTGTCTCACAAATGAAGGCGAATATACAGGTCCCAGGATGATACTGCAGGATCCAACCTGGGTCTGGGCTCTCCTGCCTGATCGGGGGGTTGGACTAGAAGACCTCCGGGGTCCCCCCCCCACAGCTCTATTCTCCCGCTACCTCCAGGCTTCCCGAGGCCTTTGAAGCCTCTCACGGAAAAGCCGGGACAGACCTTTCGTTCTTGTCCCGGAGCTCCTCCATCTCCTTGGGCTCCAGCTGATCCGCGGCCGCCTGGCGCTCCTGCAGGAGGGTGAGGCGGTCGATGCGCTGCTTCATCATCAGGATCCGTGTATCTACGCAAAGAGCACAAAACCCCCCTCAGAACACCCGAGAGGCGGCTGCCCGCCCTGCTGGATGGCGCCATGCCAGGACGACGACCCGCTCGGCCGTCCCTCATCGAGGGAGGCAAAATGGCGGCCGTTCCGCGGAAGCGAGTGAAATTCCGGCCCCGCCGGATGACCAGCAGGGTGAATTGGCAAAGCTGCAAGTTAGATGTTTTAATCTCTTTTAAAAAAGAAAAAAAAAAGTTTACTGTTTTAAAATGTTTTTAAGATTTTAATTGTAGTGTATGCTTTCTGAACTGTGAGCGGCCCAGAGTCGATTGTAGAGATGAGTGGTTATAGAATAAACCAACGAATAAAAATAAAACAATGCATAAGTAAAACAAATAAAAAATTAAAGTAAAATAAAATAACAAAATAAAATTAAAAAAACAAATAAAATAATAAAATAAAATTACAATAAAAATAAGTAAAATCTAATACATAAAATTAAAATAAAAACCAATAAAATAAAAAACAAACAAAACCAATAAAATAAAATGAAATTAAATTAAAATTAAAAAGTTAAATTAAAATAAAATAAAATAAAAACAAATAAAATCAAAAACAACAAATGAAATGAAATGAAATTAAAATTAAAAAATAAAATAAAATAAAAATAAAAACCAATAAAATAAAAATACCTAAACTGAAAATAAAAATATAGACGGCAGAGCGAACGGCCTGGGAAGGCGGGGGGGTCAGGGGAGGAGGGGGGCAGGGCTGGGCTCGAACGCGGGGCACCTGGCAGCCTGCCCGTATTTAACGGCTCCAGGGTCCCCGGGGTGGGTCCCCAATCCCTCTGGGCCACCTTCTGGCCCCTCTTGGAAGGCCGAGGGAACCTTGCTGGGCCTTTTATTAACCAGGCAGCAAGCGTGCAAGCAGAAGTATGTATATATATATTTTTTTTAAAAAAAAAGAGGGGGGCAGGGATAAAACTGATGCCAGGAATGTCCCGGGCCCCCCACCCCCTGCTCCGCCGCCACAGGGGCTTTGTGGTCCCTTGAAGGCGGGCTGCTTGGGCGGTCTCTCCTCCTGACCCCCACCTCACCCCACCCTACCCCCCTCACCTTTCTCGTCGATGAGCTTCCGGTTCTCGGCCAATTCGTGCTCCAACTCGTCCCGGTTCTCCCGCTCAGCTTCCAGCAGCTTCTTCAGCCTCCGCATCTGGAACTGGGGGGTCTGCATGATCTCCCCCATGGGGGACGAAGAGGAGGAGGAGGAGGAAGAGGAGGAGCCAGGGAGCAGCCTGCCCGGAGGAAGAAGCAGCAGCAGCGGCAGCTTAAAATCCTCTTTTTAAGAAGGGATTCGACAGCCATTGTCGGAAGGGGCACGGTGTGTGTGTGTGTGTGTGTGTGTGTCGATCAACACCTCGCTTAGAGAACGTCCCAAGCGACAATTGAAAAAAGGGGGCTTATTCTGACTGTTGAAGGGTCACATGATTTACTTTCAGACACTTAACAACTGACTCACATTTACGACAGCCGTAGGGTCAGGCGATCCCCTTTCGAGAGCCAGCTTGGCCTAATGGCTAAGGCAGCAGGCTACAAACCAAGAGGCTGGGAGTTCTAGCCCCACCAAAGGTGTGCAAGCCGGCTGGGCGACGCTGGGCTAATCACCAGGAGACGGGGAGTTCTAGCCCTGCTGCCACGGCACAAAAACCAGCTCGGTGACTTTGGGCCTGTCCCTCTCCCTCAGCCCGAGACGGGACGGTAATTGTGGGGGACATAGGAGGAGGAAGATGTGTTGGAGGTATTCGCCATTTTGAATTAAAAATAAAATTAAAATAAACACAACGCTAAAATAAAATAAAGTAAATAAAACAAAGTAAATAAAATACAATAAAATAACGTAATAAAGTGAAGTGACAAACATCCCCATCGGGCCTTACTTATTCACGCTGGAGGAAGAGGCGATCTTGTGTAACTTCAGGAAAGGCACCCCTCGTTTGGGCGGGGTGCTCTGCTCTGAGGCGGCACCGGAGGTACCCGAGGACGCTGGCACTGGAGGACGGAGGAGAGCAGGCAGGCCGTCAGGCTAAAGAGAGCTCAGGAGAGGCTCAGCCTTCCATTTAAATGGCTTTCCCCCCCTACTAAGAAGGGTCAAAAGAAGTTAAGTTTTAAGAGCCGGAGGAATTCTCTCACCGCAGAAAACATTAGGAACTTCTCTGTTTTGGAGAAGTTGACGAACAAGAACTTCATAAAGACAGGAAGAAAGAAGAGGAGAAAGAGAGAAACTACCAAATATAAAAGGGTCGGCCGGATTAAATAATGATCAGACTGGGAGTCTAAAGACGGAACCACGGATAAGCTTAATACCCTTAAGGGGTATCTCTGTTGTAGCGTCTTTATATCCGCGAAGGGACCTCGATCTTCTCAACTTGGTGGCCTCCAGACCTTCTGGACTACAACTCCCATTTCAGGTAGTCCTGGATGCAGACGTTTCATGACCCAACTAAGGAACAGCATCCATGCCCTGTCCTTACCTAGCTGGCTCGTGAAACCACCAAGCTCAGAAAGCACCAAGAACCCAAAACTTCTCCTCCTCCTCCCGGAAAACCCCGCTCCCTCCCAACACGGATGAGGTTACCTAGCTGGGTGACGAAACGTCTGCAAGGAATCCACCAAGGTGGCAGACCTCCCTGTTTACCCCTGAGCCACAAAGCTTCTCTTTGGTCGATAGACGGGGGTGGGGGGATCCTAGTCAAAGCACCGCACACTGCAACCTACTTGCTCGCCCACCCAGCACTCACTTTTCTTTTGGAGGAAGTTCTCGAGGTCTTCGCTGTGGCAGTCTTCATTGTAGAGCATGAAGTTCAGGAATTTGGCCATCTCCGTCTGCGGGGGGAAGAGGGTGGGGGGGACAGGAGGCACCCAGTTATCCAGGGAAGGTCTAGCAAAAGGAAATCAGACGGAAGTCTATGCCCCCCACCCGCCAGGCCAGAACTCGCTTTTCACGGGGCGTTGCCCTTCTCAAAAGTCCTTCCTCCAAACAAGGAGAACCATAGACAGGCCTCCACTTGCAACCCCACCGAGCCCAAAATTTCCGTGGCTAAGCGAGGCATTAAGTGACTTTTGCCCCTTTTAGGATCTTTCTGGCTACTTCAGTCGTTAAGGGCATCACTGCAGTTCTTCAGTTAGTGACACCGTCGCTCAGGGAATCTGGTTTCCCCCTTTGCTGGTCGCCAAAGGGGATCACCTAACGCTGCGACCGTCGTAAATTCGAGTCAGCTGCCAAGCGTCACGCGAACATGGGGACGCTGCAACGGTCGTGAAGTGTGGGAAAACGGCCGCGAGTCGCTTTTTTTCCCCCAGTGCCTCTGTAACTTTAAACGGCCGCTAAATGAACCGCTGTGAGTTGAGGGCTACCTACGCTGCTGAATTGGCAGGATGCAATGCA